TATGTGCATACGTATCTAGGGAAAATAATATATTTATAAAAAAAAATCAAAAATTGTCAGTTTTCTTTTGACAAGCCAATGTAGTATTCATTTATTATAATGGTTACTTTTCCTTTTTTTTTTTTTTTTTGGTGTGTGTGTGTGTGTGTGTGTGTGTGTCTTTCACCTCACTTTGTTTTTTTTCCTTTAGTTGCATACTTCAGCCTTCTAGGTTGTCTCTCTGCAATCTCTCCATCCAATTAGTAAATGCCTTGCCTCCTCTGTAAAAGCAGTAATGACCAAAACAGAAAGGACAATCTTCTTTCTGTTATAGTCCAGTGGCAATATAACAATTTTATTCCTGTGTATTTGATCACAGTTGTGTATACTCTGGCCCTGATTTACAACAGTGTGTAGGCTCTTATGCCTATTCAGTGCAAAACCTGGAAATCAGCTAGTAGCTAGAAGTCTACATGTTTTGTGTCTGGCTGTGTGTAGGTGGCAGAAAGGTAAATAGTACCTGTTTGTATAGTGCTCCTCATATTTGTGTAATAGCAATACAGATAATGACAGTAACCGCAGAACATGTTGATTTATGAAATAAAATTAAATATTCTAAAAATACAACATGACAAGACATAACCTACCATCTGCGGGATTTTTCAGTTTAGCTGCTTATGTCTAAACAGTATGTAGCTGTGTTGTATTGACATCCACAGCTTGAAACCAGCTTTATTGTAGATTACAACTTTCAAAGATATGACGACAGTCAATTGATCTCATCCTGCTTGATCAATACCAGAATATTGTGCTCTGGAATAAATAACTAATGCAAATAATTCAGAGGGAAATAATTTTATTTTATTTAATTTTTTTATGTAAGAGCAACTCCGTTTGCAAATTGTTTACAAGTGTGTATTTGTACACTGATGTTTACATAGCACATGGCATAAGAGAGGGAGAAAAATCTTTCATTATAAGGAGAGCTACTACCAAAATGAATGAAATTCAGTCTTGACATTTCTGTCAGTTGGTGCAGGATTCAATTCTTTCATGACGTTTTTATCCCTTAATGACCTGCCATCATTGTTCCTGTAAGACTGACAACGAAAATGATCTCCTTTGAGAAAATGGCTTAAATATGTGTAGTCCCTATTTACACATCCCATGCATCTCTGAGGCATTTGAAATGCTTGATTTCTTGTCGTTGTCATTTTAAAGGTAGCAAACGTTCCACTGCAATATGTTGTCTCTGCCAAGAGCACCATGGCAAGGAAATATTAAGCTTTTTAAAGGATATTATGAGGTTTAATTGTGTAGTTGGCACATAGAATCTATGGTGATGGGCAAAACAAAAAGGGAGCTAGATATTAAATATAATTTTACTGATGGTATGAAACACTACTATAGAATTCCAGTAAAATTATTTGCCAATAAGCAAGGCTAATGAATAATGGAATTCAGGTAGCTAAAATTAATCTCCTAATTCTTATGATCTAGATTATTATTTCTTTATTTATTTTAATATGAGCTAAAATTCAGTTAATTTTTAGGCTGAGTTAGATGAAGACATTTCAGATTTGTCTTTCATTCAAATGCCAACTCTTTCCATTTCTTGATAAGACACTTGATTAGTATTTGATACCTATGTGGAAGCTTTATATTTTCTTACTTCACAAAAATGAACACGAGCTGTCCGCTCATGTTGTGGTTTGTGACAATTGAACTACTAATTATTTGAATTAATCAATCTTCATTTTGTTCTGAAATATAAGTCTGAGACCATTGCCTCTGACAGGATGTGAAAGTAGATGTTAGTTGGTTGTTTTGTTGGAAAAAAAAAAACATTACACTTGGTTTTATATCTATTCCATGGAAACCAGTCACTTAAATACCTTTGAAAATCTGATCCCTAGACATACAGGTATAAGAGTAGTTTGTAAAGTGGACCAGACAAATTAATACATAGCAAAATTGTGAGAGCTAGTCTGAGAGTGAACACATGACAGGGGGTATCACCCTGTCATGATATCTTAGTGACAAGGAATTTCCTGGCTGGGCTATTCTCTATATGAAAAACTGTTTTAGTGCAACTTACTGTATGTGTGTTTTTCATATGTTTACGTACTCTTCTTTTAGCACTCTTAAAGCACTAAAAATACTGCCTTAAGCAGGTCTTCGCTATACTTTTTTATGTTGAGCATTTCAGTTAGGTATACTTTATGCAGCCTTCACTGGGAAAGGGCAAAGTGAGTTATTTTAGCTTAGAGTATTCGATACATCTTGTCTGATGGTGGTTCTGACTCTGATTTAAAAGTGCAACAACATTATTTTTAATCTCACTTGTATAATATTTTAAATCATTTCCTGTCTGGAGATTAGAAATTCTTTATTATAACATTCCAGGGAATTACCCATTGGACACAGGGAACACTATTTTTGATGATCATATCCAACTTGGTTGTATGAGGATCTCACTTGTAACACATGTAATTTTGACCATCTGAAAAGTGTAATAACTTTCAGAAACAGTGTCAATAATGTCTTACAGCTATTAGTAAATGGAAATTTGTTATCTGTTGATACAAGCATTATGGATGCATATGGATGGATTAACTACATTACCTATATCAAGTGCACCACATCAGTAAGGCTGATAAGAAACCTTTAGTTTTCTAGATAAAGCCACCTCATGTTTAAAGCAATTGGACTACTATATAATTTTCTAAATTATGTATTTTAAGTGAAGATGGCTCATAATTTCTTCTTTTGTATCTCTTTTATGTTCTTTTATATTAGTTGAGATTTTATCCTTCACCGCTTTATATACAGTATCAACAGTATCAACAGTACATTGATACTGTTAATTGCTGCTTCTCTCTGTTTTTCCCTTCTTTAACAAACAGCTACTCCTATTAAAGCTAAAAGATGAATGTATTCTCTTGTTTACCTGTCACTCGGTGTATTTTCAATACATTTTGTTGCTATCTGGCTGGTTTAAGTGCAGAAATTTGTAAATAAATGTTTGTTGCTAAACACATAAACAGCAATATTTGTGATATTTGCGTGTGATTAGCTCTTGAAAAATTCATCAAATGTCCTGAGATCTGCACTGCTTTTTAAAAATTCATAAAAAGTTTTGAAGAGTGAAAATGGTTTGACAAGTAGGCAGGCCACAAAGAAACTGACACATCAAGGGAAGAAGATCAAACAGGAATATAGCAGGCATATTCATACTGTAGGCTGTAGAGCCTGGCTGCACTCCAAGGGGGTTGAAAGAACAAGTAGACATGAAATATAGAGAAAGAATAGAGACAGGAATCTCAAGGTGGAGAAATGAAAGACCATTTGACATTCAAAAATGATTTTTTAAACATCTTTGACATCCAGTCAATAAATTCACCTATTTTCCTTATTTAACTAGATGCAAAAGTTTTCTCACAATAGTAACATAGACTGTATGAAATTTTCAGGAAGATGTCTCCTATCTCAGAAGAAAATACTTGAGGGGTTTGGAAAGGTTCTCAGAATAATCTCTGTGGGCTTGATACTGGATTGTGAATCAAACAGGCTCTATGATGAATCTATCCTGATACCAATTTCCTGGGATCTGACCTTAAACCTGTGATGATGTAGGGTTACAACACTAATTGTATCATGTAAATATTGGTTTTTAAGTGATCCTGTTATTTTTCTTCAGCATTAAATGTGCTGTCACATTTATGCATTGAAAATGAATTAGCTATACATATATGAGTATCCTTAAACTTGAAATGAATGGGAAATTAGAAAGAAATTGTTTCATTATTAACTTTTATTTTTTTATTAAGCAAGCATTTAGCAATGCGTCATAAAAGAGATGCTTACATAAATGTAAAATATGTTCAACAACGTTTAACAGTGCTCAAATAAATGGTTATAACTGCATTGTTACAGGGATATTCATCCCTTTGTCACATGTTATGTGCGTAGAACAGTAAATAGTTCTTTTGCCTTTCACTCTCACCTGCCACGTATCTGTTATGCCACTGATGCCATCCATCAAGGAATTTCAAAGGACAATTGGTAAAAGAAAACATAAGACATTCATCTCAAGAGGCTTGATTCTGTTTTATTAGATTCTCCCTAGGTTTTCCCAAGCTTTGAAGCAGTGGTAGCAGCAAGGGATCAAGCAGTAAAAGCTTTTTAAAACTTCAGTCTCTGCTCCAGCTGGGTTTCAGATCAATTTTATTTTTTTTTTCCACCTGGGCCAGCAGTAGAACTGGGTAAGACGAGTATAAGATGCGCTGCAGTATCAAAAACTAGCTAAAAATTAGCTCCTCCTTTCTCCTTCCAAAGACCTTTTACTGGGGCAGCACAGCAGACAAAACATCAGTGAAATGACAAGTGTTGTCCACCTCAGTTTGGTCTGAAGAAGTTTATATGGGGATATGGAAGAATATTGAAAACCTTTTGTTCCTGGAAATTAATCCGCCCCTCCCCCCTGCATTCTTGGAGTTTCTGACACTGTAGTAACTGCAGTCCTCTGTGCCGAGCAATTCTCTCTGCATACACTAGGGTGGGAATTAACAATTTTCTCCATTTGATAGCTCCAAGTATCCTGTTATGAAATGTTTTTGAAGTTCATTTCTATAGAAGATCTAAATGAGTCAGAAAATTTATAAGATCCTCTCAAATTTGAAATGAAGCGTGGTAATTTTGTCTTCTTTCCCTGTTAAATCTCGGTGGTACTGCTGTAGAAAACAAACCAGCCTGCAGTCCCAGAAGCTATTTACTGAAGAAATGTATTCTGTGGTTCTGACAGCAACAAAACAATAAAGTGATGTATCTTGAAATACTCTAAGTAATCTGTTTTCGTGCATTGTATCTGAGTAAAAACAATTAGACTTTTTTTTTTTTTTTTTTTTTTTTTTTTTTTCCACTTCTCCAAAATGGCTGAGATTCCTTTTGGATGTGCAGGCATGGGTCTTGCCTTTACTTGTGGGTAGCTGATACACACCTTGAGATGCAACCTACTTGGTGATTTTTGTTTTGTGGTCCAGGCATGGGGAGGGCACTCTGCCATAACACAGATGTTGGTGATTCAGTCCTTGATTGAAGCAGAAAGAGAACCTGGCTGCCTTCATGCTCTGATGCCTGAATGCAATTCAGTTGCCTATGTGCTGTGATAGAGTAATGCTATGGTAAGTTGAAGTTTCATTTTCTGTACAGAATGAATTTTAATTTTCTGTAGCTTTGTAGCCTGTAGTATCAACCCATCTGGCACAGTTCCTGGCAATGCGTGCCCTGATGACCCATAGCCTGGTTGTGCACTGTGAGTGCCTTTGGTTTGAACAGAAAGGGAGAAGTTGAGACTGTTTAGTTTATTGTGTCTTCTAGTGCTTTTCATATCCTTATTTTTGGAGAAGAATGTCCTGCATGTTATCTCCCCAATTGAAACAATTCACAGCTACTCTGGGCTTTTAATCCAGGTTCTTGCAAATCATACCATCTGCTAATGGGTCCTTGGTAGCCATTTGCAAGACCTGAGTCTCGTGAGGTTAGCTGAACCCGTAGAGGCCCTTTCTTTGCAGTTAACTAGGTTGTATGCTAGCTTTTCATAAGAACCTGATAATGGGTGAAGTAAAATATTGTAGAATGCTGCAATATTTTTATCACTTGTGAATTATTTTTCTCTGAAGTGGTGGTCGTGTTGTGTAGGTTATTTCTAGCTGGAATGACATAAAGCTGTGCCATGGTGAAGTGATTTACAAGCAGTTACATTCATGTGTGTAATATACTTCTAGCCTCTGTCATATATGCTGCGTGTCATGAAATACTACTGCAGAGTGTTTAATACGCCAGTGCATAGCGGGAGATGATATCATTAATTTCACTTGTAAAGTACATAAATCATGGCTTTGAAACTGCAGTTGTACAAGTGCATATGCTACTTTATGTGCTACTTTTAAAGGGTGTCAGGTGAGCTACTGCCTGCACTGCTCAGGTTTGTTACTTCCACAGAGATGAAGTACTCAAATTTCTCAGCTTTAGTATTCAAGATGAAAATAGTACAAAGTCATTCGAGCCAAATACAATGTCAGGCTAATACAACACTAAAATCAAAATGCAGTTATGGAAGTTCATGTATGGTAGGGGTGTGTTCTTTTCTTTTCAAAAGATTTACGTTTGTTGTCACTATTACAGCCCTCCATCACTGCATTTGGAAGGCTTTCTGCTGTAGTCACTTTCTCCATCTTCTCTGTCTTGACATGCATGTTGCCGATGCATGTACTGCTTACCTTTGAAAATAGAAAACATGCTCGATATTTGGTTTCGTCTAGTCACAATGTGTAATTCTATAGTTGGCACGTATAGAGATACTCAGGAAGACCTTTGTGGGAAAAGAAAGGGCGATAATTTCACACTTGCCAGCAAGCAAGATTTTGGCTATTCTGTAATGTGTGTTCCTGCTACATCACTTTACGTTTCTTCACTGACTACCCAGTGCATAAACTTCACATAAAAATTTCTGTAACTAGAACCTTTCTTTAAGTGTTTAAGAACAAACTCTGTTCCCACTTGCATAAACTTATAATCCTTACTTCTTTTTAATTTCATTTTAACATATTTGAAATAACAGCTTCAAAAATATCAAACCCAAGTTTCTCTGGAGGAGATATTCCTTTCTTGAGCAAATAAATGAGCAAAAATCCCATAATTGTTTAATATGACATGATCCTGACACAGACCTGTGACTTCCTTTGATTGGCATATAATGACGTTTGCAGTGTGTTAAAACCTACAGTGCTGCTTTTCAGAATTATTTGCATTTAGAAAATAATTGGATTTGTTTATAAGTGTAGTTGAGGTGTTGCAGGACCCTTCGGCTATACAATTTTGTTTTGCATCCTTATATGTGGTAGTCATGATGGCATTTGTGAAATGCCACTCCCCCACAGTGAGATACTGTGCAACCAGCAGAGGTTAGAGCCACGACTTGATTTGCATTGCACCAATGCAAATTCTCAGGATAGGAAGGAGTGGCATAGTCAGTCATATTATATGTGACATAGTCAGTCATATCGATGATCTCTTTCAGTAGAGTCCTGTGTACAATCTGTGTGCATGTGCATACCAAGTATGCATGCAACTTCTGTATTGATTAAGAGGATGTTAATACTCAGTTTCTTGGGCATTTTACATACAGCTTATTATGCTTTTGTTTTTTTTTTTTAATGGCTAACGTGTTTAAAAATATTCAGTTTAAAAAAAAAAAACAGGAAAAATGGCATTAGAAGTCTTGAAAGGTAGAACTGGTCTTGCGGTATTTCAGATCTGAACATATCTATGATTTATCTTCTCATGTTTATTCTTAGTTTACGGTCAGTTCGTCCTGCTTCTCTAATGTAAGAATGCACCGATGTTTGATGCTTGTGGTACCTGATGTTGAAAATGATTTCCTTTGGCCTTATCTTGTTTAATCCTACATGTCAAAGTGACAGTATGTGAGTCAGCTACTGAATAGGGTACACCTCACTGGTTTGATTTTTATACTATCCTTACTCTTCTGTGAAATCTGATTAGTCTGTTGTGAGGAAAAAAGTCCTTGATGAGAGTGTAAAACTATTGCAAGAAAGATGTTTATATTATTCATTATAAATCAAATATGGTTCCTTGTTGATATAAATTACCTGTGTTTGTTTTTTTTTCTAGTGCAGATTCTTTTGAAAGGTTAATTTCTCTGACTGAATCAAGTGGATGTATTGTAGGCCATTGTTTCTGAAGTGACCTTATTTTTCCTGGCTTCTTTTTTCCTCAAATTAGTTTTTGACAAGATGTTATCACTGCTCTTGTTTAAGTTTGAGTTTTTAACTATCTTGTTTTGATTTTTTTCTTCTTCCAGATAAAACTCTTGTTTTTCGTGACCTTTCCTGTTTCATCCAGTGTGTTTGCTTTCCAATTTCCACTCTTTTCATGTGGAAGTATCTGTTTTCCACTGCTGTTGCTTCAATCCAGTGTCACTGATTACAGAAGTTCTTCCGTCTGCCAATATTCACCATACCTATTATATCCTTCTGGCTGAGTATGACTGTCACCTCTTAAATTTTTTCTAGTGCTGATGACTTTGTCATTGTAATGATGCTGCTTGAGTTACTGTTACCTTTTACTCAAACTTCAAACACTATTTGAAATCTGTCTCCCTTTTTTGACCTCAGGAAATTAATATCTTTTGGGGAAGTAGTATCTTCTTACAGGAGAGGCAATCAAAATTAATCTTTAACCTGAAATCAGTGCAGTAAAGACTTTTCAGGTTTAGATTTTTGAAGTTTGATTTTATTAAGTTAATGTTACTACATTATGCTAAAAATCTACACTATTGTAGAAAGAGTCAATCTAGGACTGCCTCATGTCTAATCTGTATAGAATATAAAAGTATAAAACTTGGCTCATAATGCTTTACTAATTTTACATTGTTACATCAGATAATCACTAAACAAGATTGTTGTAACTGAGGGAATGATCATTCTCATTCTTTATTGTATTTTCACTAGTATTGATATAGAGTATGAGATTCATAATAGATATTCTGCTACTAGATATTCTGCGCTGGGATTTCTCAATGAAATCGTAGGCCAGTTGATTTCTTTATTTTAAAATGTGAAGTGTAACTGATGTGCAGGAAATAATGTATTGTGCCTTAAAAGGGAGGAAGAGAAGGGAATATTGTTGACTTGCTCTTGTGATGTCACTTTCTCAACTGTTTTACAGGTAAGGGATACTGTTAGAAAGGTGGTCATAAAATATTTCTAAAAGGAAGAGCTAGAATTGCTTAGCTTTTGAAACAGTCTTTATTAACAGAAAATGGAAAAGCAAATAAAACTTTTCCATGTTGGAAACAGTAATACCTTTTTTTCCTCACAACTTCCCTTCAGCAATGCCCCATGTGTCCCATATATAACACAGATTTATTTATTTATTTATTTATTTTTTGATCAGCTTTTCATAATTTATTTTACAGTGGACAATCCGCATATCAGATTGTCATCCATAAGAAAAAGTGAGGTGACATCATGGTCAGAAATTGGGTGCATTTCAATTGAAAGTATCATTGCCACCAAGACAATATGAGTTTTTGAAGTCTATCCAAACTTTTTTTGTATTAAAATATTATTAATTAAAATATTATAAAATATATTAAAATATTTTTTTTTTTTTTTTTTTTTTTTTTTAAAGCTGAGGGCTACTTTGGAAATTGAAGAAATACTTTTCACTGTCAATTTTTATTGTTTTTTAAAATGCACTAGAGGTGGTTATTCTCCTCTCAGGGCATATTGAATAAGAATTAGTGCTAAATAACACAAAATAAAATGTTTGGAACCAGGCCAAATATATATATATAATATAGACATTATTATATTATTTAATTATATTAGATTTTATATATATATATATATAAAATAAATATATATATTTGGCCTGGTTCCAAACATTTTATTTTTATATACATGCGCGTGCACACACACACACACACACACACAATTTATCTTAAGCCTTCTACTTTGTGAGTTTGACTGTTGTCTTCTGTGTGGAGTAAATCATTGTCATTAGAGGGTCTGTTCCATACTATTGCAGAATGATGTTAATGGATAGAGCTCTTCCCCTCCACCCCAGAGCAACTACTGTAGCCTTTCAAATCTGTAGCCAAAAAAGAGAAATACCATATTGTATACTGCAAGATCTTGCTATATTTATGAAAGTGTATTCTTGTAACTTTAAAGTTATCTTTCAATGTCCATGGAATACTATTTTATATTTTCTTATTCCTTTTAAATTCTACGGTACATCTTCAAAGACTCCTGTTAAAAGAGATGACGTTTATATTATTTGTGGTTAGGCAATGCCTAGTATTCAGTGAACCCAGTGACATAACTAACTTAATGCCACTGTAGAGATAATCCTCACAGGCTATGTTATTAGAGACAAATTGTGTCTGTAGTAGTGCTTTTAGAAAGAACACTTTAGTCATATGCAGTGAATAAATGACATACCCACTAACTTTAATGACCTGTTTATCTTAACCGTTGAAATGGCAATAAATAATGAGACCATCACTGGCAGAATTCTGAGTAATTTGGTAATATTTTCTTGCAGTCATGTGCGTGATGCTTTGTTGATTAGTTTCTTACACTGGCAGTATATT